GCATTTTAAGTGGAAAACATACAAGACAAATGCTCTGGTGCAGTCTCAAGCAGTCTCACTAGCTATAGCTCCACCAATGGGTAGTACAGTATATATTTTTCAATTTTCCTTTTGAACATGATTGAATTGGGTTACATTTCCTGTTGTGTTTTACAGCGAGAAGGAGAGCTTCGCCAGTCTGATGGATCAGTCTCTAATCTGAAGAATGATGTGCCAGAGCCACTTCATATTCTGCCTCCTAATGAGACGGACTGCTTTGCTTTAAAAATGAATGCCACTGGTCCAAACTACTACTACACAGGCTTTTTCTGCTATATTCCACTGCCATATCTTTGCCAGTACACATGTAAATATGAGTCAAGACTTATAAATAGTTTACATGGTTAAATTATTTTAAAATGTGTGGTTTTAACTTTTTATTTGCCATAATTATTCAATCAATATGTGTTTTAAAACTGTATTTAGTTTAGCACTTTTACAGGCTTAGCTCCATCTGAAATGTACACTAAGACGTACTGTAGCTGAATAGATGTTTCCCTCTTCTCAATATGTAAGTTGAAATACTTGCTTTGTATTGTTGAGACCTGTCACACATTGAGAGAATAAGAAGTAAGAGAAATTAAAGAAACTCATTCACAGTCCTTTTGTAACAGAACATATTTTTACAGTTTCCACAGCACCAGCAGATTTTGAATTTGAGGCGGAGGATGTTAAGGAGAAAGAGGCCGGTTTCAAATGGAGCAATCTGGAACACTGGCTGAAGCCAGAAGAGAAGACAAGTTTATTAATTCAGTATGAAGAAGAATTGTCAACAGAGCAGTGGCACACAAGAAGCCTTCCTCTCAATGGCACACGTCTGACCATTTCAGGATTGTCTCCTGGTCATGTCTACCTTTTTTCATTCAAAGTAATGCATCATGGTGGTGCTTCAAGAACCCTTGGCCCCATTCGTAAAGTGCAAACAAGTAAGTTCTAGCTGTATATCCAAACATTGAATATTCTGTATATTTTGTATTTTTTTCCAAACAATCCAGTCAGTTTGTTTTTCTGCTTCATGATTTCCGAAAGTGTGTTAAAATTAACAAAATAACTAATTTAGTCAATAATTACAGTTAGCTTGTCATTTATATATACTATTTATTTATATACAATATTTTTATAAGATATATATATAGCATTTTCCAGATTCTCTTAATGGATTCTTATCCATAACATGTTTTGGTAAAAAAAAACACAGATTGCAGAATATACTGTGGTTTACAGACCACCGTCATTTGCTCATAAGGAAATGGTGTTTCACAGTTTAAGGGGCATCATATAGTATTTGCATTAATATATTATCCACATTAATTTAATTGAAATATGTACCGTAAAAGAGAAACACTGCTTGTTTTGTGTAGGGCACTTACAGTAATGTTTACAACAGAAATACTGAGCTTTTTTATAAACTCTTTTGGAATAACAGAGATAACACTATTTTTCTTTCCTGTCATTTTGTCAGCAGTGCACATCATGAGATCTATTTATTTTTATATGATCTTCACATACAGTTTGAAACACCAGCTACAGTACACAGTGAAAATGTTGATCTGAAATATGATTTATTAACTGTTTTATTTTCTAATTGAATAGCTAGGTTTGCTACTAAAATGTAGCATTTTCTTCTTTTAATGATTATGAACCTTAAAAGCTACAGTAATTCACATTTCTTTTTTTATAGGACCTAATCCTCCACAAAATATTACAGTAAAGAAAGTAACATCAAAGGAAATACCATTGTATTGGACTGCTCCAGATAACTCCCATAATGCATCATTTGATCATTATTTGATCACCTGTGTGGATGTTGCTACCAGTATGAAAAAGAGCCTTGTTGTTGAAAACTACAAAACATCAGCTGTCATAACCAACCTCAAGTCCTTTCACCTCTTTAGCATCAACATACAGACTGTGTCAGCATTTGGCTCATTAAGCTGTGTGGATTTACCACTCTTCATAACCACAGGCATGTGATGAATGTGTATTGCGATAAGAATTTTTTCACACAAACATTTCTCGTTTCCAGTTACATTGCTAATTCATTCTTTGCTGTAGATAAAAAAATCTCATGTTGATTAGAAACTATTGGTTTTACTTCCAGTTTGCGTAGATAGACATTTGATGTATTTATCAATAATGTTCAATTATCATAATCATAAAAGAAGTCAGATAAATTATAAAATTAAAAATAAAATGTTAGACATTTCTTCACACTAAAAAGTCTTAAAGTGGCTTCTTATTTAGAATTACAGTAGGTTGAAGGTAAACAAAGCAGTTGTAGTATATATGTTTTGCAACTTTCCCAGAAATTAGCAAATTACTGCATAACTCAAAGTCGATTTGACCTGAGTTTAGTTAAAGCCTCACCCCACCTGCAAAAGCAAATTTCAAGTATTTCACTTGATTGCTTCATTCTGTGTGTCAGAGAATTATTGGTTTTGGACTTAAAGGTCAGCAGATGGTCTGAGGTCTTAATAACGTGGTCTGTCAATTATCATATGCAAATATTAATATGGTATGCTGCAGAGTAGAAAAAAGGTAATATTTTGTGCTTTGTTTTAGCTGTCAGCCCCCCTAGCAGGGTTTATATAAACCCAGAAGATGTGGGAGTAGAGAATGTTACAGTGCATTGGGAAGTGGAACAAGAAGAGGATATTGATGAGTATTATGTCCTAGTGAGATCAGTCACTGTTGGAGGTGACACGAAAAGCTACTGGGTAAACAGCTCAAACAGTTTTAAACTTAGCATGCTAAGTCCTGGCATGACGTATGAGATAGGGGTGGCTGCAGTTAAGAGTGGAAACATGAGTGAGATGAAGACTGTCCTACAGACTTTAAGTAAGTTTTCAGTTCCTTCCCTCAAGGCTGGTGAAGCCTTCGTATGCAGAATATTAATTGTGTTACTTGTCAGTTTTAACATTTTGTAAATGTTAGTAAACATAAAGTAATACTGAAAAGACTTGCAGCTGTGTAATGGGAACATACCTTTTTTGTGTTCACTTGAGGATTGTACAAAACTTGATATTAACAGACTAGCAATATTAGAAAACTACACTTCAATTTTAACTGTGCCTCTCTGATTGGTTCCTGACTTTCTATATAATATATTTTTGTTTTGTAGATCCTGAAAGAGTTCAGATAGTTGTTCCTTATGAACAAAACACACATTCTGTTGTACTTTACATTCAAATGCCACATGCTGGCATATTTGATGGAGTAAATATTACATACAAAGGAGGAAGCCAAAGAAAAATTCTCCCTGACAGTAATGATAAGATAACCATTGAACATCTGACACCTGGAACCAATTATGACTTTTCTGTGTACACAACAAGTGGAAACATGGCCAGTGCAGTCTACCATGTTCCAGATGTAAAAACCTGTAAGTACAGTAGCCACTGTTCTGTTTTTTTCTGGAAAAGGGATATACAGTATGTGCTTTTATAACTGCAACTAAGAAGTTGGTGTGTTAGATTAACAATTGATTAATGTATTAGCAAAACAATTAGTATAAATGTTATGACAAATAATGGCATTTTAAGTGGAAAACATACAAGACAAATGCTTTTTGCCTTTTAATAATGGAAAATTCCAGTGGTCAATCTGTTACATCGCTTGGTGGAGATAAATAGCTGTCTGTTTCAGTTCCAACAATAATTTATTTTTGTGTAGATTGGTTTATGTAGCTCTTGATTCATCCAATTCCAGTCTTGAGAGGCCAGTTAAAATACTTAGAGGTCACATAAGGCTTTGTAACATATTTCTTTCTCATTTTAAACTATTGTTCCAATATTACAGGGTGGTCCCAAGGGCGTGCTCACACAAAAAATACAAAAGACCACAAAGTGGCCATGAGGCTTTATTTGCAAGCCTTTTCTGGTTTTACAACAAACAACACCACTAAAAAATCCAGAAGGCAGCAGGCGCAATGCGGGGTACACCCTGGACAGGATGCCCGTTTATTTCAGGCCAGACACAGACAGATACATAAACACTCACACCAGGGCCAGTTTTCTCAGAAGCCAATTAACTTAACAGTATGTCTTTGGACTGTGGGAGGAAACCAGAGTGCCCTGAGGAATCCCACACAACCATGAGGAGAACAGACAAACTCCACACAGAAACACTAAACAAGAATCATAGATTATACCCATGAGACAGTGTGAGTAAATGCTTAACCAATTAACCTATAATTTAGTCAGTCACCCCAGGAGTGGCTATTGTAAGGAATTTGAGTCTGAATAATGGTGTCTAGTGGCAGTTTACGTGCAATAGTATCCCTTTATTCTGCTGACATGACATGTCATTTGCCATAACATAAGAATTTGTTAGGGTTAGGAAGTTAGAGGTAGGGTTTAGTGTTTGGATTGGAGTTATGGTCATTTTAATTCATTTGGGAAAATAATTAAAAGTGTTATTACAGTGCCTTGTGAAGGTGTGCTTGCTATTTTAAACTGAGATATGATAATACATAATTCAAAAAACAATATTCCTATTTAGTTGGCCTTAATTCTTGAACTCCATAGGGACATGAACACTGCAATATGAAGTGATAATGATAATGTTGACATACTACCCAAATATAGTCACTTGTACTGTATATACTGTATATAAACCAACACATGCATTGAGAGGGTTTACAGATACATCCATTGTTGTAATTATGAATTGATTCTGACTTTTCTAGGTCTGGCTCCACCAACAAATGTCCATGAAGGGAAAGTCTCAGAAACGTCGATAGATGTTCAGTGGAATAGAGCTGAAGGGAGCTTTCAGCAGTATGAAGTTATATGTATTAACTGTGCTGCCACGTTCACGGCAAGTAAAATTAGTGATGTAAAAAAAACAACATTTACTTTTTGTTTACAGGACTGGCAAAACGTTAACCAGATTTTTTTTTCTTGGTGTTGTTTAAGGTTAAAAAAATCAAAGATGAAAGAGCCTTGTTTACAAACCTTATTCCTGGACAGATGTATAATTTTTCTATTCGAACTGAGAAGGACAATTTCAAGGACAGCATGCAGGTGCTGCAGCAAATTCAAACAGGTGGGTCCTGCTTCTGGACTCTTTTGAAAAATGAACCAAGCCTGACATTTTCAACTCATCCTCTTTTTCAAAATCAAATCTATGATAAATGTATATCTGAATTGAAAAGTAACGCCTACTATTATTTTATTTCTATGTAAATAAAACTGCTATCTTAGAAAATTAGAATCACAACATGTTTTTCTTTTGCAGCACCAAGCCAAGTTGAATTGTTGGAGTTCAATAAGAGTTCTAATACCATATCTGTAAGCTGGTCAGCAGGTCAGCATATATTTGATGGCTTTGTTCTGTCCATAACAAATGGAAGTTTTAATAAAGAAAAAAAGTTCAGTTTTCTTGATCCAAGGTAGGACTTTTCTTTCTGTGTTGAAAATGCAGTGAAAATTAGCCCTTAATGGTGTTCTAACAAGTGTTCTGGAGGAATGAAAACGGACGGACTAATTAAGCTCAGCTGACGCAACCCACAACTCCCCCTGACGTAATCTCTCAAATTCCAATACACCGTATACCACATGTCACTCTCTCCTCTTCCTCTCTTATTTTGCATCCCTCCTCCACCTCACCTCCACCTTTGCAGCTACTCTGTTGGTCGCATTTTCACCGAGCTGGGCTGAGGGCCTATCGCCGGGAGGCTGGCCCTCCGCCAAGCAGGTTAAGCCAAGTTTTCACAAACTGCATAAATGATTCTGCTTTCGGACAATCTGCAGTTGCCCTCATTCCTCTTGAAATATTTTTTGCCAGAACTGTACACTCTGTACAAATTTAACATGTTTTCATTATCGAGGTAATGACAGAATGCTCCTGTGTAGAAAATGAAGATGTCAGAGTAGTTGACGGGTTAAATTGACTAAATGTAATATTGGTGTTCTAATTTAATTTAAAAACTTCATTATATGCATAGTGTACTGTGCATAAATTTAGATAAACATCCAATTAGACATATAAATATATATTGTTTTATAATCTGGTGTATCTTTGTGCTTGCTTTTTAATTATTAAATGTCCTTTTTATAAAAAGAAAATACCTTTTTTTACATTGATAGATATCACCAGTTTAGAGATCTCACTCCTGGAAGCAGCTATAACATTGACATAGTGACCACAAGTGGAACGAAGAGGAGTCTTCCAAATGTTATCCATGTTACAACATGTGAGTTCTCGCAGTATTCATGAAGTGTAATGAGATGTTTTAGCACTAATGAAGTTTTTATCAGCACATTTAAAGGACTGGCTATAATATACTATAACATACTGTAATATACTTGCTTTATTTCTTGTGATCTTTGGATTATAAACTTGTTGATGGTTGTTTTCCCAGTACGCCAAAGCAGGTGTTCTGTTAAATATAAAGTGTCCTGTACTGTATTTTATATTGTCTGTTTTTTACTTATAATAACCCAGTATATTAGTAAAATCCCAAAGCTACTGACTTGGTGTGAAAAACCTAAAAAGAATAACAGAACAAAACTAAAAAAGAGGATTTATATGCCAGATGTTTCCATATGATATGAGAGAGCACCTTTCTTTATATTTATTTAAAACTCATCCAGTTAAAATCAGGTATTGCAGTAGAGCAATGAAAAATAATCACATCAAGAGAAGACAGAACTCTGCTTAAGAAATGTCAAAATATCATCCTAGATTAAATACCTACCAATGTAGGTGACAATGCACTTTGTAATGACAAATGTACAGTATTTCCTTGCACTGAATTGTACCTACCTGTAGCTTTTATTTTTTTAACTGGAATTCATTCAAATCTTAAGATGGCTGTTTACATTATTCTCAACACCGAAATATACAATATATTTAATTTATATATTTAATCTATATGGTATATTTAATTGTTGCAAACCAAACGAGAAGAAATGCTAAAAACCTGGATGAGATTTACCATATATAATTTATGTAAATTAAGAAACAGGATAATTCCCCACAGAAAAGTTAAAAGAAAGGGTGAGACACATTTTAGTTAAAGGGTCTTTTATTTATTCCATTGTCTAAACATAATTTGATAACTCTTTCTTTTTACGTTTCTGGGTAGAATTAAACTCTGACTTTTTCTTTTTAGTTTACATGCTGACATGCAGTATCCTCAAATGTCTTGAATTTTCTAGTAAACCATTTTAGATTCTTTCAAATTTTCACCTGGCAACATACACTGCCCTCTGGTGGAAATGGAACATAAGAGCTTCTTCAACATGTAGTTACAGTATTTTGAAATTATATGACTTCAAAAAATGTACATATGTTTTGTTTTATTAGGACAGAGTAATTATACACAATTAAAAAGTGATAAAATAAAATCATTTAGTAGGTGGTTTGAAAGCAAAGCAATGTGTGCTTTCATTTATATACTGCATTTAAAGGGATAAGTGCTCATTAATATTCATTGCTAGATAAAGGTATTTTCTTGGCCTTTCACTGTAGCATTCTATGGTCTTCTCTTAGTTAATGTTATCTTTTTTCTTCTAGGCCCATTTCACACTACCTGATACTGTATATGAAACTCAAAAGAAAAAGTTTATGTAAGGTGGTTATATAAAAAATACATTGATTTTGTGGTCCTTTTTAACCTTTTCACCAGTCTATACTGTATGTCATGAATGTGATTAGTTTTAAAATGGATCCATTGAAATAACAGCTGAGTTTGTATTTTAGATCCAGAACCCCCTGTGGACATACATTTCATTGAGCAAGATGAAAACTCTATATATGTGACTTGGAGTCATCCACGTGGCTATGTTGATGGTTATAAGGTAAATTGTTAAACACTTCAGTGGTGTATTCTAATGTGTATGCTTACTGATAAGAACACATTAATTTTACTGCTTGATAAAGATGTTTCACTCATTACTATCCTTCAAGGCTTTCGGTTGACATAAGATTATAAAAGCTAATATAATGGGTTTTTTTACATTAAATAGCCATTTTCAGAAACCTTGGGTGCCTAGTACAGCATTAGGAGAGTGCACTAGATTTTTTCAGTAATATAATATTAAATATTTAATATGATATTAATAATATTCATATAATAATAATAATATTAATATAATAATAATATGAATATAATAATATTTTCACTATCTTCTAAAAATAAGGAGATACATACAGTACCTGTATACTGTATCTAGTTTTTACTTACATACATGAAAGATGGTGAAGAAACTCATCTATTGTTTCTTCACACATCCTAAAACTGAATTAGTGAGAGTTATTTCAAACATTTTGTATGATACAGTATATAATGTCAAGAAAACATTTGTTTATAGGTTGGTATGTATTATATTGTCTATGTCCTTGCCCTAAAATGTAAATACTGTAGATATTAAGTCTTAATAAAATTTGAAGATAATCTGAATAAATGTATAACACAAAGACATAAGATATATTTGGTATATTTAATTAACAAAATGATCCAACAATAAATATCCTGATGTGAATAAGTATGTAAACCTTTGGATTCAGTAACCGATGGCACAACTCAATCAGCAATGACTTCAACTGTGACCTTTACAGTTTATGAGTTTTCTGCATCTGTTTCTAGGACTTTTTGCCCATTCTTCCTTGCAGAACCCATGCTTCAAGTCTGAGGGTTAGCTTGCATGAATAGTTCACTTCCTATCCTGCTATAATATTTTAATGGGATTTAAGCCTGCACTTAAAGAAGAAATATATTTTTTAGCCATTGTGTATATCTGGTTGTTAGTTTAGGATCATTGTATTGCCTTCTTCACATTCCTTTTGGCTCAGCTTCAGCAGATAAATGGATGACCTGACATTTCCGCCAGATTTTAAGACACAATGCCAAACTAAGCATTCTAACAATGATGGCATACTGTTCAGTTCTTGAAGCAGAAAAGTAGCCCCAAATCCTCATACCCCTACCACTATGCTTGAGAGTCAGGATGGAGTTCTTCTGTTGAAAGGATATGTTTGTTTTTTGCCTCACAAAACATTTCTTACTGTGACCAGAAAGTTCAACTTCTGCCTCGGCTGTCCAGAGAATTTTGTTTCAGTTGTCCTGTGGATCATCCAGGAGGTCTTTAGTGAACTTGAAACGGGCAGAAATGATCTTTTTAGAGAACACTGGTTATTTCCTGGTTATCCTCTTAGAAAACCATTCCTGTTCAGACTTCATCTAATTGTAGAAGCATGAACACTGACGTTAGCCACAGTAAGGGAAGGATGCAGATCCTTAAAGATTACTCTGGAGCTCTTTGTGACTTCCTGGGTGTTTCTTGGGGTAGGTTTTGGGGAGCTTTGGGTTCCTTTTTTCTTCTACTTCATACACCATTGCATTAAAAAAATATTTGTTAAAACTTTGATTAAACAAAGGTGTCATGGTAAGAAATTTGAATTCACTTAATTCTGTTGGGGGTTCACAAACATTTTCTTGTCTCTGTGGTTTTAATTAATATCCTTCCTTTCTTGATTGCAGCATTCTTCCACCACATGTAAAAATGTTTTATTCTGATTATTTAAGTAAATGTTTTTTTTTTCTTGGGTTTACAGCTTTGAGAAGAAAACTGCAGCTTTTTAAAATGTTTTCATGCAGATATTTTCAAATCAGATATGAAAAAATATATCCATAAATTAATTGCTTGCTATATTCTGGATTCAAAGTATATTTAACATATATGGCTATTTGTTGTTTGTTTTTTTTAGTGGAAAATTCCAACAAAGCCCATATACTAGGAACTCTAAGATGTATTAAACCTATTATTTAGAATGATGGGTACAAGTGCCTTATTGTGCTTTTTCATCAATCATGATTTACTTATTTCAAAGTCTATATGTATGGAAGATCTAGAGGTTTATGCACAATTGATTGATTGGCACTGAAATTAACTGAATTAAGGCAAACATGTCCCACGGGAAACAGCCTGTATTCTTGATCTAACAGTATGCTTTTATTTACAACAAAGTTTGAACTAATATAGTCCTTAATATTATAAAAATGAAAAATGTTTTTTTTAAAGAAATGTTACTGAGCTATTAATGAATAACACTGCTAGAACTCTGCAGAACAGTTCTCAATTTACACCTTCCTGTGTGAATCTGAATGAGTCTTTTATAAAGGAATGAGGCTGCTTGTTAATGTTTCATGACAAAGCATTATTGGATGGGTTGCTTAGCAGAGACAGCTTGCCCAAAAGAGATTGTGTTCCTGATCATTTAAAATTTAATGATCCAGTTGTTACTGGAAAGATCCTGAAAGGCTGAACGATGAAGTAAATTTAATGTTCTTTCTGATAAGAAATTATATCCATAGGAATCATACAAATTATGATATAGAATATAGAATATGAGATTTTGTAAACCACAAACTAAAGTACAGTAAGTCTCAGTTTTCTTATTTTTAGTTTTATTAATTTTTGCCCTACTTTCCTCATATGATTTAAGGTGATATAAATATTATATCATTAAGACAAAAAAGTCACTGGGTGAGTCACAGTTGGATATTTAAATGGAATATATAAACATGTGTCTTTATTGCACATACAATTACTTACTATGACATACAGTGATTTTCACACTGTGAAACACAGCAGTGTTGTTCAATTACTGTACTGCACACAGATGGAGAGGAATTATCCTGATTTTGGATATAATTTTGGTAGGAAGCTCTAAAGCCATCTTTAGTATTTAAGATTGAAATATTTATGATTTATATATTACTAAGCTTACATAATCAATCAATTTAATACATTAGATTATTTCAGCAGTTCAAGAAATAGTGATAATACAAAGTGTTAATGGAAACTGCACTGTGATAAGTAAGGACAGGGACAGTGTTTTAGTTCTCAGTTTAAACCTGACGTTTGCTGAGTCACTATGTGTCACCATCAGGAAGTTATTGCAAACTTCTTGTGCTCAATACACATTTCTATGGGAAATGTAAGATGCAAAGGATATAAAAAACTTAAAAACTAGCTTAACAATTGTCTATGACTGTTTTATTAGTCATGTGTAAGAGAATGTTGTCTGCTTCATATAGCCTACTTTTTGCAATGTGTATCATTAATTAAAACTGCTTTTCTTTGCGTGTCGCCCTGTAGCTCAGCTATGGTTTGTCAGGAAGCAAGGAAACTCTTTATAAAACCACCCTCCGCAACAATACAATTAGAATTAAAGATCTGGCTCCTGGAATTGAGTACTTATTCAAACTCCAGTCTTTAAAAGGATCAGAGACGAGTGCTGCTGTTACCAAAATAGTTACCGCACGTAAGAGTTGATTTTTGTTATTGTTCTTAGGTTGAGGAGAAAATGTTTTTCTCATGTTTTTTATGATTAATTAATACATTTAATGATAGAACTGCAAGTACATTTGGGCTATCTTATGCCTTACATTAAAATATACTTGAATTATTTGAAAATACAAGTATAACATGGTCATTGTATTATTGATTAACAACTGTGATCATTGTATCATTGTTGATTTGATAAGAATGAGGCTCAACATTCCCTTATGTACATATACATCTCTTTCCAGGGCCATCTGGGATATGCTCACTGTCTTTAACATATATTAACACATCAGCAGCTGGAATAATGTGGAAATCAAGCCCTGGAAAATTTGACTATTACAAGATCAGTATTTCAAACATTTCCTTTATTTATGAATTAAATATCTCAAAAGAGAGCCTAAATTATACAGCCTCAGGCCTATTTCCTGGAAATCTCTACAATATTACAGTGCAGAGAGTCAGATTAGGGATTACTGGGATGGCTGCATTTGTGACGGTAGTGACAGGTGGGTAAAATACACTAAGTACTTTAACTACCATCTGGGCTAAATGGCATTCTGTCATTTGTAACCTTTCTTATGTTGTTTTGTTCTGAAGTGTTTCTTTGAGTTCAAATACAATGAATCAAATCTGTGTTGTGATATATGTATGTTGTGTATGTATATACAGTATATTGTCTATTACAATATGTAATGTAATTTTAAGAACTATATGTCATAGAGAATTTAAGGAAAAACAGAGTCATACAAATTGTAATCATTACAAATATTTGCTTTCTATATAATCAGAAATTAAAGTATTGGTTAAAGGTTAAATCAGTACTTTAAAATAAAAAAAATAAATGTCTCAATGTTTCCACAATTATCTTGACAACAAATTAGGTTTTAAATTACTGAATAGTATACATTTCTTCCAGTAGAATTAGTAGTATGTGTAATAAAAATCAAGAAGAAGAGCATGAAAACCCAAATTGATAAATTAGTTTCAGATGACTTTTGTGGTTTACAAACTCTTAAAACTTTCAACCAATTTACCAGGACTTTAGAGGTTCTAATGTGTTTTTGCACTTTATGAGATGTGTGAGTATGATTGAACAAATTTAAAAAGGTTTAATTTTCTGAAATGCTTATCAGATCTTTTTTTGACCAAAACAACTAATATGCAGCTGTTGTCAATGTCTTGAAGAACCCGACAGGCCACAGGATGTGCGAGTTGTTAGTACATCTTCTGACAGATTTTCTCTTCGATGGAGAGCACCCTCTGGGCATGTCGACAGATACCAAGTGGATGTCACCCCTAATGAAGGCATCATTACTGTCACTAACCTCAGTGCTGAGGAGTCACAGGTAAAGGCAGGCTTTCCTAAAACAGCTGCTGCCTATACATAGTGCAGCTATAGAGAGGATCTCTTGCTCAACCATGTGATCTATTTGGGAACAGGACCCTCTTTATGTTATTTATTGTCTTACACAGAAAACTTCAATGGCTGCCCCAGGTTTAGAGCTACAGCTAGTACTACAAACATCTTCAGTGGTCTGTTTCTTAACATGTGATCTGTGAAGTGTTGAGTGTAACAAAATAACAAAGGAAGGGCAGTGCTATTGAGTAATAGGGTTCATTATTTATTACTTAGTCCTCTGTCAGGTCTATGTCTAAATGTTTAATGTGATGCATCTTTTTGGAGTTTGGCTGTTACTGAACAGCAGCAAAACCTAGTTGATCACCTTGAAGAGATTAATAATCTATTAAAATGCCTAGTTTTATTGTGCTGCTTATATTTGTTTGGGTGGAATCTGTGTCAGCACAGGTAATGTAACTTTTCATTATCTTTTGTTATACTTCAAGTGACATTTGAGTTGATTAATGGAGACAATAAAAATGTCTTTCAGTGTTTTACTGTATTTTTCTAGGTCTACAGAGTTAGATTAATGCCTTTTATTTTTAAATCCATAGGCTGATGTTTCTAGTGTCACACCTGGGCAGCCCTACACAGTTACTGTCAGTGCAGTTTCTTCATCAGCATACAGTTCACCTGTTAGTAGAATTGTTACAACAAATGAAACGAGTAAGTACTGTATATCCTAATAGCACATAATATGAGGGCTGAATTATTTTTTTATAGAGCTTATGAAGCTTAGATATATTTTGAATGTATGTCTCTCGGTTTTCTCAGTCTCTCAGGAAAAAAAGATTGAGTTTGGTTTGTTTTTAGGCTTAACTTTTAGAATTCCAATAAATCTAAGCTGCTACATCATTAAATTTAATACTGTTGTGGCAGAAGTGCTTGATAAAAAATAGGTATTTACAGAAATTTTTTACATCACCAGCGGACATGTACATGCACCAGTGCGTAATTTATTGTTATGTTTAGATTCTATAAATTATTTAAGCATATGTTTCAGATAAAAGACCTATATTTTTCTAATCTTTAAATGTGTGAAACCTTTGTTAAAAAAGCAGAACATTACAGTGTGTGTCAGAGTTAGTCACACATATCTGAGTGACACAGCAGTTAAAACACTGCTTGGTGTTATGTTCAGAACATCTCGGATGGGCGTATATTCTGTCCAAAATTCTTATCAAGTTCAAGTTATGTCTGTTTTCTTGGAAATCATGCAGAAAGAAATAATGCAATTACCCCTTTCTTCCCATTTGTAACGATTATGTTTTAATTAAAAGTGACATTTTTAAATAACTGAATAGGGCCTTTCTATAGCTTGACTTATGTAATGTTTACTTAATGTGCTTTAATTATGTTTAAAGCTCCAGGTGCTCCTTTAAATCTTGAAGGAGAGAGGGTTGGTTCAACAGGTATCCTGCTGTCCTGGACAGTACCACCAGAGCCCAATGGAAAAATTCTTTCCTATGCTATTAAGTACAAAGAAGTCTGCCCTTGGCCTGATTCATCATTTACTCAAGTGCTAACGTACTCTGATATTCCAGAATTTCTTCTCAACACTCTCACCCCTGGATCCACTTACAACATAAAGGTAAAATTGACTGATCAGGAAAAAAATCATGTTTATATTCAGTATTTACAATAAGTTTGAATAATTTTTAAGAACATTAAGTGAGTGCACTTGTAGAACCAACTAGTTGAATAGAGCTATATAAAGCAACTACAAATGGACCTTTATTTGCAAAGAATTAGCTATAAACCATAGTCAGGATTATACATAGAACTTTAGTGAAGGGTTTTTCATAACAGGTACTGGTCTTATCTCATGCTCTTAAGTATTTGCCAACAGCTCCATTTACCCTGATAGTGAAACACATCAGCAGATTTATTTCTGACATAACAAGAAGTTGATCCACATTTCTTTTTTTATAGAAACAACATTACATTGGTAGAATAATATACTACATGAAAATGTCTTTATTCACATTCTACATAGGGTATATCCTCCAGTTCTGTCCCATTTGGAAAGGAATGTACATTATGATTTTTTTAAATAATAATTCATATAGACATCTGTCCACATCCTGGTAGCGTTAACCTTAATCCAGACACTATGTAAAGAGGCTTCACTGTTGAAAGTCTCTGGGCTTTACCATGCACAAGATTCCTTTCTGGTATAGAGAAATGTTGCAGTTATACGTTGTAGTAGGTTTGAAGTATGAATTTGCTCTTCTACATCTTTGAAAAAGTGAAGTGAGCATGTTAACAATTAGATTTCTTATACTTTTGTTTTCGGGTGATCTGTTTTTCTGCAGGTGGCAGCAGAAAATAGTGCAGGCATTGGAGTTTTTACCAGCTCACTTTACTTCAAAACAGCTGAAAGCCGTATGTATTTCTTTTTAAACAGAACACTTTCTTTTGTTTTGAAAGCTCTTTTGATTTACATCACAAGATGAATTGTTAAACACTCACTTGTGTTTCTATCATGTGTTTTTTTTTTCATTTATTTTTTAGCTCCTGGCCTTGTTACAAATCTCACTGCTTTTTCATACAATCACTCAACTGTGAAGGTTACCTGGTATCTACCCATACGCACAAATGGACTTATTACTAAATTTTCCATCAAAGTAAAACATGCTCGAAATGGACAAACCGTAAGAAGTTGGGAAGTCAATGCAGAAGACATCATGAAAGGGACTTTACCTCACTGTAATGTAAGTACCTTTGTTTATAAAGTAAAAAACAAATGTATTCACCATATTGCTGAACATGAAGATGTAACATTATCATTGCATAATAAAAAATTAAATTATACATACTGGTAATTTAAGAACTTGTGCAGTTAGTTTCATTTAGTGTGAAACTAAATCATGTGAATTGTACATTTTTAATACTATTACAGCATAGAAATGGACCACATGTGTGGATAAATGTATTCACGTGGTTTAAATCACTATAAACAGTGAGTATATAACTGTCCAGTTATCAGTGATAACAAGAATACACATTTCTGTCTGTAGATTGAATTGTCACATTGTAACCAGAGCAAAGAAAACATCATGAGCACCATTCTGATGTAATTTCACAATGGGCCTTATCAAAAAAAATACATGGATCAATGTTTAATAAAGATTACAAATGTAACATGTGCTGTAAAATAAAAAAACTAAATAATAAAAAAAACCTTTAGAAAAGGTTCCATAAATTCCTTCCCATAACTTACTTCTTGTGTTCTAGAAATGTCCATGTGTTACCGATTTTGTCATTTAGCCAATTTTTTTATTCTAATGGTGAATTGTAGTGGTGAAATTTATTTTGTACAATAAATGATTGCATATCAGAAATAGATTAGTACCAGGTAAAATGGCTAGGCACTTATTTTTCCATATACTGTAAATCTGCAGAACTTCAAAATTCTCCTAAATTTCAAATGCAGGTTAACTTAGCTGATTCTGTCATGCATTGCTTTTCATTAGCAATTTGTGTTTCTTCATGACCAATCTTGAGACATCATTCACATCTTTATCAGTTCACAACTGGAAATCAGTTCAAATTATTTCTTTGAAATGATCATTTTAATAATCTTTAAAGAAATTATAGCTATACATCTTAATGAGTATTAAACAAGTGTGTAGTGTCTAAGGCATTAAGCCCTTTTTACTAAATGTATCTCTAAACAAATAAAGATCAACATTCAGGAAATCAGTGATGCTGTAAAGCAGCACAGTCTTAGACACGTTTAGTGCAGGAGAAATCAGGACACCTCGCACACCACTTCCTTCTGGTTATTCCTTGTGATTGAGAAGTTGTTGAATAATTGGGCTTGGTGATAGTGAGCATCATTACACTGTAAAGGATACCTAGATAGCTGCTGCATATGGTGAAACAGGCTAAAATGTACAGTATAATACAAGTACTGTATCTCTGAGCAGTGAATAAGCTGTCCTCAGAGAAGTGCATGCAGATCAAGACTCTTGATCATATAATGACTGTGACGTGTCACTTCAGCAGTGATTGAAGTGTGGCCCCTCTTGTGTGTAAAGTGCTTTAAAATTCTTTGGGCTGAAAATCTCTGTTTAAGGAATTATTATTGTCTGCTGCTCATGATAGCTCTTAATACAACTAATAATAATATTAATAAAAAACATGGCACATCATCTCAAGACACTATAAATTTCACACAATTAAAAGCTAGAATATAAAAGTGATTTCTAAACAGTATTGCAAAGTGCTGACTTATTTATAAGATCTGATATTAACAGGGAAATAATTTCAGTCTTGGAATGACAAAATAGACAGCTTGGTCTCTCAGTTTTAGGAGTCTCTTTTTGGGAACAAACAGAATGTCAGCAAAGCACAAACAGTCTATATAAATATAGGGAGTTAACAGTTCAACCTATTATGAATGTTTGGAAAGATCAGCAGGCATTGCATTAATATAACGGTGTGTGGTGTGCACAGATATGCACATTGAAGATGAAAAAAGACAGACTACACTGTACTACACTGTGAACACGAGCCAAGACTCGGTTAAAAATTACCCCAAGATTTCTTATTTGCACAGGAGCATCAGTAGTCAAACTAAGCTTGACATATTTGCAGAGTTGATAAGGAGAACCAGTCAACACAGTTTTGGTCTTGTCACAGGTTAAAGGTAAAAAGGTTTTGCTGCATTCATTTATAACATAATCTAAACACTGTTACAAGTTAAACAGCTCCTTGACAGACACCAATTTAAGTGTTATCGATAGCATAAACATACAGTAAAATCTGATGTGATATATGCGAAGAATATGACCCTGACATAATCAAAACATATAAATACTAAAAGGATATGGACCAAGAATAGATCCTTGCAGAGCACCTGTTGCTTCAGCTTCAATAGCTTCCAGCTTGAACAGCCGGTGTTCTATCGGTTTAGATGTCAGATAGCAGATATCAGGCAAGATTTATGTTACAACAAAGCAAATCTAATAACAAAAACAAGCTTCCTATTTATAAAGTATCAAAAGCAGCATTAAGGTACAGCAGAACACAAATGGATAAAAATAAATAAGACAATAAATGTTTTGTTTACAAAAGACATTCAAGTCATTTTTATTGTACTTGTATGAATGACAGGATGCGGCTGAAATCCTCTCAAGAAGTACACCCAGCCCCTCTGTGTCCTCTCTGTTGACTTCCGCCTCTTCTCCACCGATGACCATATCAGCCATACCTCCTGCATCCTCCTGGGCTAAACCAATCAGCGTGGTGGTGGACCAGCTGAAATCTTACACTGCTTACGTGTTTGAAGTTTCTGCTTTCACCAGTGATGGGGAGGGACAGATTGCAAGTTACATGGTCAGAATGCCAGAATCAGGTAACTTCACAATCATCAATCAAGACATACTGTACATACAACCAAGAAGTAAAATGTAATTTTTCACAGGGATGACTTGGAGAACCAGACATGCTTTAAGGGTTTTATAGGTTGCAGAAAGTAGGCAAGGATTGATGTTTAGGCTGTGGGATTGTCAGGAAGGTCATGCTATTTTCCAGCTGTTGTAATTTCAATGAGCAGTGAGTTTAATATGTAAATTGGAAGTGAACTATCCGTGAAAAATCAGGGATGAAATGTTATAACATGTTACATAATTGTACTATCAATAATCAAGTTCATTTTTATTCATTTAAAATTCTGAAACTGCTTTATAATAAAAAGAGCACTTCAAGTAATTTATTATTATTAAGTATTGAACAGATCATAGAAACATTATATTTGTTTGTTAGGGGAAATAGAAAGCAGTGAGCCATCTAAAAATTTAAATAAAGGAACTTAACAATCTCCTATTTAAATATAAATAAATGATAATAATAAATATGCAAGAAACATACATACATAAACATTTAAACGTAAACTTTAGCATCCTAATCTTGCTCTCCTTAGAATCCAAGTAGTCACAAAAGCATCTTCTTCTAAAGTCAATTTCCAGCATTCATTTGAAACCGAGACTAACAGACAAATAATTTTAATAACACCTCTGCTCTGTGGTTCTAAATCTTACCTCATCAGTCTATTTTTTTACCCTTAAATGAGATAGAAACAGTATTAACCAAATGGGCTAGTTTGGCTAGTGAAGCTGTTAAAGATTTTTAATCCCTCTTTGTGCTCTTGTATATACCTTTTTTGATTTTACAATTGTTATTTAAGAACATCCAATAAGATAAAATATGTTTGTAAAAAAATATTATATTAAAAATGCTTTTAATTGAAGGATTTCATTAGTATATAGATTACAGTAAGGAATCCTGTCATTTTTACATGCCTAGTTTGAAATGCTTTATTAGTGAGTTTCAGAGCATTGCGTGAGCATATTTAATTCCTTTTTTATTTTGTTGCACTCAATATTGGGAAATATACAAGGCAAAATATCATACCGAGTACAGGCAACAACAGAATATCACTAAGGATTAAAATAATAAAGCACTAAGCAAGTAAATTAAATTATTTCTGCCTTAATAAATACTGTACTACAGTATATGAGCTAGAAGTAATGTAGTTTTAGTACTACTATATCTGTTACTTTATTACTTTATTGTTTCATTGATGTTTTCTGTAAAATAGGGGACTTTTTTCATTTATTCCCAATGTGAAATATATTCCGGTGCATGCACGTATTTATAATATTGCACTTTCTAAAATTACTCGACTTGAACAATCGTGCTAAAGCACAAAATATCCGTCAGTTTTATCCATGATGCCACCGGTTGACATTTAAATGCCAGCCTATGGTGATTAAGCCAAGGAATAAAAAGAACTGGTCAGCTGTGAAGGACAATATCTGACTCTGAGTGAGTGAAATAAGCAGGAAATATCTACCTTATGGGGTGTTCTGTGCATAAACCAGAAACAGGATACCTCTGAGCAGGAATAAAAGTACTTAACCAACACAAAGGAGAAATTCACATAGGATCAACTCATCGAGGCACAAACACTAGGTATGTTGGCAAGCCACAGAGTGTAATATGACTCTGTACTGATATGCTGCTGTGACCCAGCTTGTTGAAGTCTTGCACTATTCATTGCTTCCCTTGGTTAACTGAAGCGTATGTCCTACATGTACAGTACATTTCAATGCACATTCTGAAGTATACAAAGGACGATTCCTCACATTAAGTCAAATTAGTTATGAGTCTTTAGCTGTTGTAGCCTGCTTAAGACTCATGATAATCTTAGGCCCATACGACAAATTCCATGCCCAATATCTGAGTGGTTTTAAATTTGATAAACAATTCTACCCAAGTAGATTCTACCCTGAATCTAATTCTATTCGATTCTAGCTGTTTAAAGTTAGAATCTAGTAATGAGTATAAAATTAGAAATTGGGTCAAATATTTTATTTAGTTTTATATATAAATTGATCTTTCAAGATAGACTTCAAAGAAGAAACTTAGTTCAAAATTGTAGTCCGCAAAGCTTTTATAGTTATATACAGAAAGCATTCAATTTAATTGGTAAAGTATGCCACAAAATCAGTATTAATAGCTCAGTAGTTTACCTGTAGGTTTTTGTTTTTTTAGCTTAACTTTGAAGGTTATCATGATTGTTCTAGAACGTTGTTTTGAAAATTTATGCACAATACACAATTCACTTTAGGAGTCTTAGAGTCTTAGAAAAACAGATGGTGAAATTTGATTACTTAGTTTTGGATTCCCATAATCCTTATATTGACATCTGCTGTTCTCTTTTCCAGAATACCAGTATTAATACTATTGAGTTATTTGGTAACATATCACAAAAGAGGTTCTTCTACACCCTGGTGTGGTACATGTAGTCTTCCGGATCCTTATAAGTCCAAAGTAGCTTGCTAAACTCTTCATGAGCCAAGATTTAAAAGACATTCAGGTGCACTCATGTGATTTTGTGACTTTTCTGAGAGCCGTCCACAAGCTTATGTCAATATGGTAAAGTAAAAGAGCAAAGGTGCTTTTAAAGCTATCTTAGTTCCGATCAAATAATACCAAATATATACAGTAAATCAAATACATAACTAGATAAAATATTTTCTGTTATGTAAGTGCTATAATTTTAAAATATTATTTTAACTAGTTTAACTGTTTGATCTTTAACATCGCATGTCATTTTGCTTTCTGTTTAATATCATTTTGACAACAACATGGATAACATTTTAAACACATGTATAGTTTTAAAATTATTTACTTTCAAGTGTGTCAAAGATTATGAAATGTATTATGTTAGGTACATTAAGACAACACACTACAAAATCTGCATACCTCATTAGAAAAATCACATTTACATCTATTCTACGGTACCTTTTTCTAAAAATAGGAAACATACCTTGAAATTCATAATATGGACATTAAACATTTTACTAATATGAAGAAAATGAAATGCAATGTCTTTTTCTTGGGTTCAAGATGATGGTCAAGTGTCTGTTACTTAGAAACAAAAGTTCAGGTAAAGAAATGATGATATGTAGTGGATTTGATTTATATTTGACTCCACCGGTTGCAAGGATTTAGAAGCAGGGTATAAAAGTCCTTAAGCAGAGCAAGAGACCAGAAAGTAAGCTCTTCTTACAGGGCTGTACTATTGAGTCTTTTTGAATGAACAAAGCCTTATTGTAAGTGTAGGAAACTTTCTGCATAATGAAAAGTAGACTATTACATTTGGTTTTTCTGAGTATATAACATCAACATAAATTTTTGCCTTATTTGTAGTCTACATTTTTAGTCTAAATTTATAACCATAACAATGTGTAAACTATGAAATACTTAATATTATTGTAATATTTTGAGTAGCCTCAGTCAGATGTTCTTCCTATAAGATTTATCTTGTAAATTTATTGTCAATGAAGCAAATAAAGTAAAATACTGTAGATGTTGAATTGATAGAAAACCTGACAGGAAGTAGATTGAAAATTACAGGATTTGGATTGCACCCACAGATTATAAATCTGACAGCTACTGGCTGTTTATGCACAGAAGAAATGTAAACTAATTTATGAATATTTTTTTCTTTCTATTTTTAAGTAGTTTGCAACAAACATTTTAGTAATGATAAAGATAATACTAAGGATGAGACCTTAAAAACTATGTCCCTAATAATTATGATACTGGATATCACGTTGGTTAAAGAGCACCTATTCACACAGTTTTCAGACAGTTCATCTGGATTGACATTATGATGTTTAATTTATATGGTTTTAAGAAATTGCAATGATATTCTTGTATTTTTCTGAATATGTTTGGGTTGTTTATTTTTACTTCAAGAACTTTACTCTTCCTATTCATTGCTCAAACATATGTTGAAGTAATCAATCCAGAAAAATCAACCCAAAAAAATAAAATCACTTAAAAGAGATTCCACATTTATTTCTGTTAGTTTTACTGAAATGAATAAATAATACTCGTCTTGTTGATGGCAAATCAAATGAATACGATGATTAACAGCTCAAATTAGCACAACAATTAAGAAACTGAAAAGGCATTGGTTTAAGCATACAAAACATTTCCTTTCAGCTACAGTTAAGTTCTCAATATTCTTTGCCAGTCAGATTGGAATCCACATATACAGTACCACTCTACCAAAAACCTGTGATTTTAACAGTTCTCTTTGTTATTATGCAGAGGGAAGATAAAATAAAACACATTAGAATTGTATGTTTTTAGTGTAGGAGAGGAAATATTTCCACACTATGCCCCTGATTCATCTGCTCTTTGACTTTGATGGACAGCACCGTGGCTGTGCTACATATTCATGACCTCTCTGTAGCTAGTGGAGAGGAATTTTTTTCTGCTATGCAAAAGGAAAAGAATGGCATGAATGTTACCACTCACAAGGAGCTCTGGAAATGGATCAAGACCCTTTTAAATTTAGTTTTTTGTTTGCTATTGTAACTGTTCTGTGCAGAGAAGGTAAGTAAGCGCACTAGTTTGCCTTCTATGCAGTGCTTACTTTAAGGAGCTCTTTAATGTTTTTATTTTCTGTAGATGAACAGGCCTGCAAGTTCATTTTTGTTTGGCTCATGTCACAGTTGGGTGTATTATGGCTCATGAGTACTGGCCACAGTCTTTCTTAATGTGCTTATTATTCTTTAAAAACTTTTTTCACTAAAACTGCATTGTTAAGATTTTTTTTCAAATAATGTAATGTTAATGTAGAATTTGTTTTCTAAAAAAATGTGTAATTATTTTAAACACTTTACACTTATTTTTGTCCAATATTTAGATAGCATAAAAAGCTACATAAAAAGTTTGAAAGGGGAATCGTAAATTAAAAAGTAATGCAAGCCAATTGAGCAATGGAGTTGTTCTACTTTGTGCAGAAGCTACTTAGATATCAGGGAGACACAGTGTGTCTCCAAAGGTTTGCCTGACTACTGCAATCTCTGGATCTCACATCTGTACCACCCATGTGGGATGAACTACACACAAAAGTTAGCAGGATGAGGCCAAGAATGAAAAGCAGCTGTGGGAATACCTGGAATTCCATAAACTTGGAGTACCTTGAAAAAAGTATTTCTTGGGTAGCTACATTGAATACCTACAATACACAAATATAATTTGAAATAACTAAGCAATAACTGTTTTGGAATTCTTCTTTCATGAAGCCTGTTGAACCTAATAATATTGTTTTAATTTTACTTTAATTCTTAATTGATGATGGTTTCAAACTTTAAACCAGTACATTTTCCCCAGTTAGAAAGAAAATGAAAACTATTAATTATACAGTTGGGTGGCACGGTGGTCAGCCTTGTAGTGCCGAGAACCTGGGTTCAATTCCTAGGATACTATCTGTGTGGAGGTTGTATGCTCTTGATCCCCTTTGGGTTTTTCCTCCCACAGTCCAAAGACATGTTGGCTGGTTAATTGGCTTCTGAAAAAACTGGCCCTGGTGTCAGTGCATACTGTATTTGTGTGTCTGTGTTCGTCCCATGATGGACCGGTGTCCTGTCTGGTGGGCATATCCCACCTTGTGCCAATTGCTTGTTTTGTTAGGCTCTGGCTCCCCCTGTGACCCTGTACTGGATCAGCAGATCCAGATTTTCACTAACTGGTGGTACCAAAATAAATATAATTAAATGTTTTTATTTTATTTACACCTTTTTAAACACAAATATTTTTTAGGACACTGTATAGATATATACTGTATGTTTTTATAGCTAACAAATACTCAGTCTTTGAGAGTTAATATTACCTTTTATAATATACAGTATGGATACTTAGTACTATGTTCTATTTGAAAGTCCTGTGAAGTATAGTACAATATACAACAGTTTGGCTTGTCATGCTGTATCACTGATACACTACAAAAAAGTGATGCTAACGTTGTTAGGGGGTATTTAAATCCACTTAATATGAACATTTCATTTCATAATTAGAAGTATAATTAATTACGTTGTAATATTTTTTATTATAGCACCTGAAGACCCACCTCAGAATCTCACAGCATGGAATATCACTTCAAAATCTTTCTCAGTGTCTTGGGATGCTCCAACCATTGTAACAGGAAGATTCAGCTATGTAATTGAGCTACATGGACTTTTGGGTGAGTTTAAAGGTTAAGATAAAGTTTAATATGACTTTAGAATGATTGACCATGTAAAAAACTGGACATTTTAATTTGTTTTTCCGACCATATCAAATATATCAAATGCACATCAAATGCAAAGAAAACTACAAGTTACACTCAGCTGAAACAAATGGAACTTTTAAGCAGAAGTTTGGGAAGAGGTCAAATTCTAATCTTGCCCATTTTCACTTTCCTATGCAAAATTATCTCGCCTCCTATGTAGTGCCCCCTATTCACTTCTTTTCACACGTCCCTCCCTGCACCCCAGCTTCACCCTTGCAGCAAAGTGTGGAGGGGGGCTCCTGTCTCCCTCATTTGTACAGTCACATTGTCATTCCCTCATCCAGACAATTTATGCCAAATACATTTCCAATAGGTTTTGTGTCTTTGTAAGCCTAGGTAAGGTGCATTCACTTTTTTGTTTTCAAATATGACATACAGTAGTTGAATATAAAGGTTAATTTACATTTAATATATTTGTTTGTTTAGTGATCTGTTATCACTATATTATAATCTGTCAATAGAAATCATTTTCTATTAAAAATAGTACAACTATTATATATTATAATTAAGATTCAACAGGCTTAATACTAGAGTCATAATAATAAGTCCTTTTTTAGCCATAACAATAATGACAGCGAATAGAGAGAATGTACATTGGATTCTGAGCTTAATTTTGTGGTAGTAATTTCATTGGCAAGTTTTCCTGCCTTAAAGCCTTAAAGATAACAGTAAGAGGAACCCATGTGTCTAACAGCTTTCAGTGTTTTGCAGAACTAAACTGAGATTCTCCAGCCACAATCTTGGACCACATAACAGCCCTGTTACTGTGTAATCACACTCTAAACATTCTAACACATCGTGACACTAGCATCTGAGAATGGTGAAGTCTGTGTTTTGTTGGTTTCATAGGCATATAATTATCAGTTTTATTTGTGTATTTGCTGTACAGTTTTTGTTTGTGATCTCACTGCAACGCTTTCATTATTCCACCCCCTAGAGCCTCAGCTTATTTTTCATTTTAGCAGTTGTAGTTTTCATATTGATGTTGAACTTACAAATCCATGTCCAACAATTGTGTTGTATCTCAGTTTAAATAGTTTTTTTAAATGTCCTTAATGTGTAGTCATTTTAATTTTCTCTCATTCTTTTCCAAGATGATTCTCGATTAGTATAGAGGTGGTATCCCTGTAAACTGTGACTAAACATAAACTAAACTGACTAACATAAAAAGGATCAAGAGTGATCAAAATGTATTTATTACTGGGTTGTCTTTATTCTTATTTTTAAAGATCATATTGCATTTATTTACACATTAGTTAGTATCTATGTCTTGGTTTTGTTGCTTTCTCTTGCTTTCTGTTATGGAGTCTTCAAACTTTGGCAGCATCTAACTGGATCATCCATTTATCCACCATTGGCATTATTTTTAGCACCGATTTTCAGATCAGTCCAGTTTGCTGGTTGGCTCTGTTAATTCATATACAGTGGGGTCTTGACATTCTGTCCGCCAATCTCTCACGAATTGCCAGATTCACATATAAACAAGTACACCTCTATATCATTACATAATGTATTGCAGTATTGTTACAAGGCAACTAGGACTTTACTATAGGTTGCACCTGGGGAGGCCAGTTTTCTGTAAAAGCACTCAAAGAGGAGACCGAGGTTGTCTGATCAGACCATCACAGTCACTTGCCACAGTGAGATTGTATGATCTCAGGATGAGTGAAATCTGTAGGAGGAATTTATAAAAGCTTTACAGCTACATGTACTCTAAAGGAAGTGAAAGTAATTACTTTTCTCATTTAGTAGCAGCCTCGGTCGTTTCTGTGTTTCTGTGTTAGCTTGCTGGTTAGAAAGAAGATGGGGAAGAGTCAGACCAGTCATCAGAATTGACTGGGTGAGGAACTTCCACTGCTACTGGATTCTGGTGGAGTTAAATGTGTGATTAGAAGGGTGACTTAACAGGGTAGAAAAGGGAGTGTAGCAGCAGTGTGGTTCCCTAGACTGTTTAACCTCCCATATTTAGGTTGGGTTCATGTGCAGATTCCCTGCTACACTACCATCAAAGAGGTATCTGTTACAAGTATATGGTATGTATGTTTAAAAGACATAAATAACCCTCCTTTATATGATACTTAAAGTACAAATGCATTGGCTTTAAGTAAATAAAAAAAACATAGAGCAATTTAAACAACAGTAATCAGAAACTTATAGTAATCACATTCGTAACATGAATCCCTCCTCTGCGTCCAACAGATGCCTGTAGTTTCTGTCTCTGCCTCCCAATCTCTGTGATTAGCATGCCCCACTACCGAAAGGTATAAAAAGGGCATTAACATTGTCTGTGAGCCTGTAAGATCATCTGTAGTCTGTCATTCCTACAGTACTGTATGTGGCTGACACAGATCCAGGAGCATTCGTTAGAATGTAAAAACGAGGCAGGGAGTAGGGAGAGACTCACAAACTCGATTCATCACATGGTCCTAGTCTGTTGTGAAGCTAATTTGAAAGATGTGCTTAACAATTTTCTGTTTGGTTTGGGCTCTACTCTTCTTCCATCCAAGGCCCCCTTGGCCAGATTATCGCGAATAAAAAAAATTGCAAATGTTAAATTACGCTTACGCTTTGCCATTGGAAATTGTTGTAATTATGAAGAGATCATTATGAAATTAGTTCCAGTTGAGTAAAATTTCAATAATGGAGTGCAACTAGAGAGAGTGCTCTGTGACATGGCAATTATAATGTCTGCAGTCCAGGAAGGCACTGTTGAGCAAGTCACAATGTGTGTCTGGCATCAGTATTGTCTATCTTGTTCTTTGATTGCTGCCACCAAGGAAAAAAAAATCCTCACCCTTATCTAGTAATTACGAGAAACATATCTCGTAATTATGACTTAGTAATTCTCGCGTACTTTATGTGCTCACGCGATAGCACAATTGTAGTATAATACCTATATCAAGTTGGTAGCTACGTCAGAATTCCATGCTGAAAAAAAAACACAATGTTTTGGCTGTGAGGGCTTCATTATTATGATTCTGTTCATATTGGCTAAAATTGACAAGATTTGATTATGACTAAATCCCAGTCGAAATCTGTACAAAATCTGCAGCGCTGGACACAATCATTAAACCGAAAGTGCCAGCCAAGTTCACCACAACTTCTACATGTGTTCAGTGCACAACGTAACAGGTTGTACATTTGCTGACGTAAGCATTGCTATCTCGTAATTACAAGATAAGGGGGCAATTTTTTTTCCCCTTAGTGGCAGCAATGCACTTCCGTAATCACAAAACTGTGTCCTGCATCTGAAATGTTGATGTTAATTGTCTATTTATTTGCAACATTTTAAATTTTAACACATACAAGAAAGAATGTCACATCCATTACAGAAGTATTTATTTTTAATTATTTCTTGTGATTGTAATGGTAATTTCACAAACATACACTGAAAATTGACTACCTTTGTAAGAAGGACTGTTAAGAAAAACTTAGTTAATACAAGTAACAGAAAATTATTTTAAAATAAACTAAAAAATGTTTTAAAAGTCAGCAGACAGTATGTATTTGATTATATATGTGCTTATTTGTTTTTCATTTCAGGGTTTATCTTTGAAAACACCACAAGTGATATGAGGTTCTCATATTTTGGACTGACTCCATACACAACATATACAGTGGTTGTTCGTGCAAAATCTGCAGGAGCTTTGGGGCCTCATGCCAACACAACTGTGTTAACTCCAGCTGAAGGTCAGTGTTGGGCTGTCTTTTTTCAGTTATTATCAGTAGTAAAAGTGTTTTCAAGCACGAGATGTTCTCCCCAGGTTTAGTTTAAACTTGAGTGACCCCTTGTGTCCATGAATTTACAAAGATTAGAAATCACCAGTAGATGGCATGAGGAAACAAAGAAAAGTCAAGTACTTTCAAAACTGTTGATGATCCTGTAGTATATTGATTTCTGAATATTTTATTCCCATCATTATTATTTATTTACAGCTCCTAGTGAAGTTATTGGCTTGAAAGCAACAGTCATTGATTCAACATCTGTGAAGCTATCATGGAAAAGCCCACAGCATCCAAATGGAATAATTACCCAATACAAGATTCTTGTTTTAATGAAAGGGCTTCATGTCCAAAGCATCTTTCTTAGAGGAAAAGTGAAGGTATTTCTCAAATATTTGTTGCAGTTAGTACCATTTAATAAGGATTAGAAACCTCCCTGCTGTAGTTGTGAGCTTATTGAGAAATCAAAGTTAATTATTTCTGATCATTTGTTTTAATCTTGACTTGTAATTTTCATTTTGTGAGGTAAGAGTAATCAGTAATTTTCCAAAAGTTCACACATACATTTGCATTTATTGCCAGTTGGTTAGGAAAGCATAGTTAAGAGTATTGTTTTGTGATTGTTAACAGAGCCAAATAATTCTTTATGTAAAATAAATACTACTAATCAATTTAGTTTATATATTCGCTGATAACAGTAAAAAGTTAGTATTATATTTCTTTACCTTTAACTTTAAATTTTTGAACAATACATTGTGAAAGTTATCAAATACTGTATATTACTTGCTGTGTGCTTTATACTGTATTTATTTTTTGTTTTTGTTTTAGGACTTAAATTACACCACATTAGACAGCGATGGTATGGTAATACAGAATGTTACCTTAGGCAACTCTGATCTTTATGAAGGCACAACTGATTTGATTTCATCAACTTTGTCACCGGTTTCTCCACTTACTTCATCATTTCCTTCATCCGCAAAAATACCGTTTCTCGCGGACAGGCCAAGCACCACCTCTCACACCTCTGAAAGTAGCACAGCATCTTTTGTTACACAAGCTCCATTAACATCATCACTGCCACAGACTTCCTTGCATGCTGGAACTTTGAGGTCATGGTCATCTAATGCTGCTTATTCACTGCCTTACACTGCTACTGACAACGCCAAGCCTACTGAAGGAAATGGAGCTACCACAAAGGCGCCCTTGAGTTTCACCTCAACATCTGGATCATTACCCACAGAAACAGCTGCCCCACCAGAGGAGATCTTACGGTTCACTTCCTTCGACTCTAATCCAACACGCCCTCGTGTTTCAGCACGAGCTGCTGTCTTTGCTGATGTTCCAGGAGGTAAAAAAGGCTTAGATACGCTGACCAGTCTAGTGCTTGGCAGCTAACAGGTGGAGCTTACCGCATTACATGATGATGTCTTTGGCGCATAGAGCTGCTCTGTGTTGCCAATGTATTTTTACCTTTAGTGACTTTATGACTGTGTAAATGGAGCATGTTGTGGTTATATTGGAAGGATTGAAATATCTTGTTTCCCTTTTTGCTAGTAATATGATCTCTGAAAGCATGTGGTAAACATTTTAATGCAGTGAATGTATTAACACTACTGACAATTTGTGTAAAACAAAAAAAGCTTTTGCTGTTTTTAATATTACTATTTAATTTCTGCAACAAATATGAATTTGAGCTAGAAAGGCAAGTAGCAATCACATTAGTTATGTTTGGTGAAATTTAGTCAACTGTCCAATTCAAATTAGTCTTATTTAGATTGTTTCAATGTATCACTAGTTTTGCAGAAGAATAGCTATATTGTCTTGCATGAGAATGTGCTGCAGATTACCTTGATGATGAGTTACAGTTTTTTTTTTGTAATTTACAGTGAAAGTTACAAACATTGAAGTCCCAGATATCTCAGCTGATCAAATCTCATATTTTGTTACAAACCTCATTCCTTTTACTGAGTACACCTTTAGCGTGTCTGCCTTCACTGCTGTAGGAGAAGGACCACCAACCAAAATATCAGAGAAAACAAGGGAACAAGGTAATGTGTCATTTGAAATTCATAAATTCACCATTATTTCATAATTTCATAATTTCATAATTTAATTATTCTAATTTAATAATTTAATTATAATTAGGTATCTGTCCTGGTTTTCTATCTAATATTATGTCTGTTTTTTTAGTACCAAGTTCTGTACAAAATGTGTATTATCAGAATATAAGTTCAACATCAATTTTGTTGTCCTGGGACCCTCCCCTGAACCCCAATGGCAAAATTATCCATTATACTGTGTATGGGATGGATTTGCTAACAAAGGAAGCTTTTCACAAAATCGCAAATCAGACACAAATTATCCTCTCAGGTAAAGATAAATTACTATTTTGCTTATTTACTTTACTTACTATAAATATTACTACTGTATGTAACTATTATGCAAATGTAAATTTCATTATGTTAAGTAGATTGTGAGTATTGTATAAGTCTTGTATAAACTCTCAGGAGTTGTTAATGGTATTCTGTTGTTCTTTTGTTCTATTGAATGCATCTACCGTTAGAGTGCTCTTGGCCTGTGATGAGACACCACAGCTTTAACTGTAATGCACTGTACTCTTATGATATAAATTAATAGAAGTCTTTTATATATAGGATTGAAAAAGTACACAGAGTACAAACTGCGTGTAGCTGCATCGACCATTGTGGGAGAAAGCTCCCTTTCTGAGGAAGATGACATCTTTGTTATAACACCTGAGGATGGTAAAGAATAAATCATACACTTCTCTCTTTTGTATGAATACATTTCTGTAGTAGAATTTAACTTATTTAATTGTCCCTTTAAACTGAAGTACTCCTTCGGTTATAATATTACAAAATGTAACCAAATTTAAGTAGGCCAGTTTCTTTGGGGAATTTTAAAAAAGGAAGGTAAAGTTTAATTACATAAAACCCACCTATGGTTAAAATTATGTTCAACTGGGAAAAGGTAGAGAATCCTGGAAAAGAGTTGAAACGCCTAACTTTTACATTCTTTTTAAATCTATTTTGTCACAGAACCAGAGTCACCTCCTACGAACCTTACCGTTATTGAGTTGACTGCTTCCACTGCTATAATCAAATGGTCACCTCCAGAAAAGCCAAATGGAATTATTAAGTATTACCAAGTTTTGTATGAAAATTCTACATCCTGGTTAACAGTGAACAGCTCAACGACAAGTGTCAAGCTTAAAAATTTAAAACCTTTCTCTTTCTATAATGTTTCGGTAAGAGCCTATACCAAATATGGATATGGAAACCAAACATCCACAACCTTAACACTGCTGACTAGTGAAGATGGTACGTTCTTCTTTGTAAATTAGTCTTGAGTGTTTTTCAATGACTATTTAAATAGATTACATGTATCTTTATAAATCTTGAATAATATCTTCATATAATTTCTGTCCATTTATCTTGTGTCATTACTACTTTCACTGCAGCACAAAAAAGGAAAGTAGGTTAACAGGGAAGAAAGTTTGGATTGCTTTTTTAAGTTTAGAATCACCAATTCTCTTTATCCACAAACACTGAGGTTTGTAACCATCTATTCTGTGTTTAAGGTCTTGTCTCATGGCTACAAACACCATGATTAGTCAGTCAATAATAATATCTAGGTTTAAACCCCTCAATGCCTAGATCATAGAGCTCAACCTGTCATAAGGTGAGCAATGTTACCGGCTGTGCCACTTAGGACATCGCTGAGACATTTGTTCATTTAGTTGTATAGTTCTACACGTGGAAGAAATTCAAGTACAGTAGGTACTTTAGCTGCATCAGCATGTGTAGGCTGGAAAGGAATGGGTAAAGGAAAAAACAACCACAATGTTTCAGTTGTGGAGCCTTGTTTGAAGCATTGTGTTGATTTTCTTTTTCTTTCAGCATGGAATAAACCTTTACGTGTTCCTTAGTTCTATGAGTGGTTCAAAATACATTTAATTTTGGTCAGATCATGGGTTCTATGATGAAAATATGTGTACTGTGTAGTTTTTTGTGTAATTACCATATTTATTAAATGTAATGTAAATATATAGTCTTAGTGGAATTTGTTTCAACACATTTTATATGCAGTGTGATTCTAATGATAAAAAGCATATTATTTAAATAATCAATTAACATATGTAAAATAAAGTAATGGTTCCTTTATTTAGGGCCTCAGTTTTGCTTACATTGTTCTTTTCTGCTTCTTTCAGCTCCTGGCAGTCCACCATTTAATTTGACATATGGGAGTATTAGTTCCACCAAGATAACAGTTTCATGGCTATCCCCACTGCATGCCAATGGCATTATACTATCTTACACAGTACAATACTGGAATGCATCCCACTCCCTGAATATCAGCACTAATAGCACTAAAGTCATCATATCCAACCTAAAGAAAAATGCATGGTACTGGATAACTGTGGTGGCTAACACCAAGTTTGGGAGTGGAAACCAGACCAGTGATGTTTTAAATGTGACAACGCTTGAAGATGGTGAGTTGCAGGAAAATATGCAGTTCATTTAAAATTTACAAAAAGTGTTATCTTGTCATTAATGAGCATTCCGACTTTTATTAAAAACAAAAATGCCTGTTTTTCAGACAGAATAGGTTTTCACTTAAGGGTTTAATAAATATAAAGGTGGAATGTGTCTTGGGTGGGTGTGTTCTTTGAATTTGTTTTTGCAGTATGTCTAGAATGTGCCATTGAAAGGGATCCTGATGAAGATATTTCTTCAATTTCACCTTAATATTTTGTGAGCAATTGATGAAATAATATTTGATGATCAAGTGTGTTTAGGTGAAAATCTTAATTTGCTGTGTATGAAACGACATTTCCAAATTGTCAAAGGGTTTTTAATTACTTCAGTGGTTTCCAAAGGAGGACATATGGAAAAAGCATGCACTAATATAACATATGTACTTCATTTCCTACCAGTTGCAATGTGTATTTAAGTTGTGTTTCACTTGTTTCTCTGCTTACTCTGTGTTTTCTTCAGCAGTTCTAGAGAAGCCTACCCATAATGCAGTACCTCTTACAACAATACTGACTCCTCTTTGAAAACTTTTTTTTCTCGTGGGTTACCCTGGTGAAAAGGTTATGTTTTAGTGAGTTTATTGGTTGTATTCATCATACTGTACCAATGTGTTCGCCATCTTTACTATTATTGGTGTCCTCCAAAAGTGTATTGTAATAGGGTCCAGATAAGTGGAATGACAGTTAAACAAAAAAGATTCTGTGTCTTTGAGCACCGCAGTGTCAAAACTGGACTGCCATGCTTTCTCATCATATTTATTTAAAAAGAAATACATTGGCCTTTGCTTTTCAAGAAAGTGAAAAATCACTCTCCTGATTGAAACTGAGAATGCGACTGGTCTGTAAACCCCATTTCATCATTCATTATCAGAATAAGATCTTTATCATAACAAGAACACAAAGTGCTATGTTATTTCACTGTTCACATGATTTGTATTTTAAAAAGTCATACTCACATGCAAATTTTTTTTTCTTGCATTTAAGTACTAGTCAGGTTTGTATTCCTGTGTAAAAGCAGATATTTTCCATGTTAGCAAAGTAAATATGCTATAAAATACAGCATTTATAGTGGTATTTTAAATGTTAAACTATTATATTTGAGATTTTTTTACATACTATTTGTATTACATTTTTAATGAAACCAGTCTGTAATCAGTAACGTATAATACTATAACTCTCTTACAGATTCTAAGGTAACAGTTCAGTACATCATATCATTTAACCACTGACTTTTAGAACTTTTCATTTTGCCAAAAAATAATTTCTAGTGATCTTTGATGGTTACGTTTTCTGCCTCAAACCATCATCTACATATCCACTGACACATTTTCATTAGAGATAGTCCAAAAGAACAGGAAATTAAATCATTAGCTTTAAAACACATTTTTCATATTAGGATTTCCTGGAAAATAATTCCTGGCATACTTGGTTTAGATTTCAGTATTGGCAATGTTTTCAAAACAATGTTTTGTCGAGAGATATCTTCCTTGTTATCTTTAACCTTCTGTATTTTATTCTGGTTCTGAATTCTATTTATAACAATTGCAGTCTATTATTGTAGTATTTTATATTTTTATTATTTTAGAACATTTTCTCGGATGACTTAATTAAAATGAGGTTGTTCAGTTATTCATGATAGGAAAAAGTCAGTGATTGCACACTTAAAGAAGGTAATATAGTTTAGTATATTTAGATTGTTTATAACTCATATGCAAATGGGTTTGAATTCTAGATGTGATTTTGTTTTTAATGTATACATTATGTTGGGGGTATACCACAATTACTTTCCAGGAACAAAAATGGATCAACAACCATAAGAATGTTCATTAAATATTACATACACAATTCCAGTGATATCCATTAACAGCTACAGGGCACTCGAAACTGTACTTACACAAATGTACTGCTCTTTAGGGTGAAAGCAAATTACATATACTCTATTTATTATGAGATCAAATGGAATACCACCGAAACAATGACATCCCAGACTTTGTGTAGATGTGCTCCTTTTTCATCATTAACAAATTCACGTTCTCTGGGACAAATGTATTTTGGATAGCACAGGCCAATCTGGATGCAGTGGATGTTGGATGCAGTTCACACCCACTTAATTGTGTGGGATACTAAGCTGTTTACAAGACTTCAATGTTCTGCTCAGCAGGGATTGCTGCTCCCTCTAGGCCCATTATTTCTTTGCTTCTTTTCTGCTTACCTTTTCCTTTAGCTGTGTGTGAGTCACAAGCATGTTTTTTTAAAAACTGCAATTTTTTATGGAAAAGGAGTTTGCTTTTCAAAAGCACAAGGATTATAACAGCGGTATGCGAAACAAGTGGGTTCTATTAATTTAGATTACAGTGAAATAAAACTATTTCTTCATAAAAACAGAGTTGATGTCCTCTCTAGATGGTATCCTGTACTGTGCGTGAATTGTATTTGCTGCTACCTTTTCACAGACTATAATTTTGCATATGTTAATGATTTTATAAGACCACTCATTCACAGGAGATTTTGACCTGTAGAAACTGTATTTCTCATGAGCAACAGTTCCAAGCTCCCCTCCACAATTCCTGACTGTAAAGCAGTTGTCTGATTCTGAAGTCAAGGTGTCTTGGATGCCACCATTACAAGCAAATGGACAAGTGCTGTACTATATGGTTTATGTATGGTAAGACAATCTAATGTTTTCCCAACATTACAATACTGCCTTTTCCAAAATGCCAAATGAAATTTTGATTTTTAATTTTGACACTTTAGTTTTGAAGAGAAACTTTTAAATTCATTGCTCTACTGCTCTAGTAAGAAACCATTTGCAATGTTGTGGGATAGCATTTGGATAAGATGCCAATGTTTAATATTTCCAGGGTTAACATGACATATCCAATAAAATGTGTGCTCCATTGTTACTTTATGTATATTGTGTTTAATACTTTCTAAATAGAACTTAGAATCTATAATTGAAAGGTTAAATGTTAATGGAAAAACATATGCTGTATTGTTTGAACGTATGTACAGTATAGTAAATACAAAACTTCAATGTTTTAGTTTGTTGTTTTGAGTTGATTTTTAAAAAATATAAAACAATTAAAATGTTAGAGGCATTTTGCCAATGTTGTTTACTTACAGTCCTAACCAGATTTACCCCAATACTTACAGTATTTAAAAACAATGTTGTTAGATTCATTAATAGTAACATAGATTAGATTAATTTATCATTGTTTTTCATTCATTCGGAATTCCTGAAACATGGTTAACACACGTCTCTTTTAACCTTTTGGAAACCACTGCTGATCTACTAGGAACCAGTCAAGTGAATTCATTATAAATGTGACAGAAACATCAGTGGTATTAAGTGTGGAAAGTGGTAAGGAGTATAATATTTCTGTAAGCGCCTGGACCAGGCTTGGTGATGGAGACATTAGAAGTGTAATTACGTTCAAGACTTCTGTCAAAGGTAAGCAAATAAATGGGCATATTACTAGTTAAATTGACCAAAAACATTTTTGAAATAATAGCTGTTTGCTTCTTGAAACTAAATATAACTATACAGATACTACATGAAGTATTTAATTTGTGTTTTTACCAGAAACTGCAATAGCGTGTAAAGGACACCTTGCAGGAGTTTAATCATACATACTGCATAAACGAACAACTTTCTGCTGTTGAATCGAGACTTTTTTAAATAAAAAAATGATGTGTGTGTATGGGTGAGGGTACAAAAGTAACATTTTTTTAGGAATATTAGGATTTATTAGGATTAGGAACAATATTAGGGATATTTGTAGCATCTGTTGTAGCTACAACTAAATGTTTGCACTCACCTATTTCTCAGTCATTTGAGCCTTTTGGTAAATTGTAATTTACTGTTTATTGTAATAACTATAACTGCAATGTTACAGACTTTTCAACATTATTTTGAATTGTGAATCTTTAGTTGTGTTAGTTTATGTAAAAGAATATTTGAAATGCATTTTCTATTTTGTAGGCCCAGATGATTCTTCAAGAAACATTTCATATGTTAACATAACGTCCACTTCAATACAAGTGTACTGGAATCCTGCAACATTCGGTGGAATAAGCCAATTCTACACTGTTTATTACAGTAACAGCTCAGGCATTTATAGTCAGGTCAGGCATTTTTAACTATCACATTTTTATTTTCTTTTGTTGGTATTGTAACCAAATGTTTCAAATAATTTAAGTGTATCTTATTGATTTGGCTTATCCAAAACTTAACCAAAGCTTTATCTTTGAAAAGTAAATATGTTACAAATGAGAGATTGCTATTCTGTCTATGTTGCTTTTCTGTAATCAAATAATAGAACCATTGTATATTGTTTAATTGGAGCTTATTTAGTTTTCTTCTGTCTTGTATGAATGGTGTATATAAAGATCATTGTTTTTTGTTTTAACAAACTTAGATGTTAAAACAAACCATGATGTTCTGTTCTTTCTTGAATTGGCATTTTGATTTGAAATACCATTTAACAGCATGCTGCAGCAAGGTTGTTACTAAAAAAGCTTGAGTGACATTCTATACTGTATGTCCACAATATATATGGAAATGAATGCCATTACTTTAGGAGTTCAGAAGAGCTTTGCCACAGCTATATAAAAGATCATTGTTAACAGCTGGAGTGATGCATGTAAGTTATATAAAATAAAGCCATAAAAACATGAATTTAAAAAAATGGGCTTGGTTCAAACAACAGCGCACAAGATTGGAATCCTTTTGTGTTGTTTAATATGAAGTTAAGAACAGGACTGTAAGTTTTTCCGTTGATACAGATACTGGTTCAGGAAGACAAATAAAGCCCTGCAGCAGGAAGGACTTAGTTCCAGCTCTAGAAGGTTGAAACATGAGCCTGGTGTGTTGGGAAAGTGCCCTTTCCTCTGTTCACACCTCGGTTCATTCCTATAACACTAATTACAGAAACAGCAGAGGTGTTTTGTTTGAGTGCATTTTGGTGTTGTTTTCCCTAATACACAAACTTACTATCACCAGACTCACTTAAAGGGGATTATTATATCATTAACATTTAGCAAGTTCTCCTGATGTCCCTTTGCCTGATGTGTGTAAATAACAATTGGTTCAGGATGTCAAACATCACAGGACAGTAGCTAACAAACAGATGCTGTGTCAGGTAAAAAAGGAAATGCAGATTAGCCAAGTGACACACCAGTGTTTTTCTTTGAGGGTGTTAATTAGAACCTCTGCAATGCCAAATAAAAAAACAGTCAGAAAAGCAGTTACTGTTCATCAAAGCTATCTGCAGAAGCATGTGGCCCCCTTAACTGTGATTTTATCATATTGCAATCTAATCTAAGTTAATTCTAGTAATTACCAAACTTACATATACATAAAAACATAAGAAAGATTATAGACAAATGGACAACGCCCATCTCATCTAACCTAACTGCATATAAAAAGGCTTGTAAGATTGATTTTAAGAATGTAGCAATGTACCAAATAAAAAAGTACAAGTCTGAATGTGTCTTTAAGTTTTAGCTTTATGAGTCGAGTTAATAGGCTTTCCTCCTGTGCGGGGTGTGGTGTATTGACCCTTGTAAGGCTGAGGGTTAAAAAGTCCTGAGACCTATACAGGTATTCATTATTTTAATTTATGCAGATGTTTTTTATTTCCTATTAATTTTTATTGCCTGGTATATGTTCATGCATAATTATTTTTTTTTTCAGAACGTTACAGTCTTTGATTCTTATACTGGTACTGCAAACTCAACTTATTCCACAATAATTAATGACCTTGTCACATTCAGTCTATACCGTCTATGGATTAGTACAAGTACTGCCCTTGGAAATGAAAATCTTATGAGTGACACGATATATGTGTACACAAAAGAGGATGGTAGGTATTTACACTGCAACATTCTGAACATATTTGTACTCTTGTGTAGTCTACTCCATTTTTTCTATTTTTATAAATCACATAAAAACTTTAAAACATTCTCAACAATTTTCATTAAAAATTATTTGTCATCATTTGTTTTGTTAAAGGCAAAAATGCAAAAACCTAAATTTACTTTCTAAAATGTATTGGGAAAGGAATAGTAATTTTGTTGGTTTCTCAAAGCAGGAGCCATATTTTTTAACATATAGTAGGCTATAAACATTTTGTTAGCTGAGCTTTGGTCCAGAAATAAAAATGGATATTATAGTGCTGTTTTATTAATTTTGCGTGATGATGTTTTAATCAAATGTTTTACAATATTGTCTTTAAAGTTATCAATTTGCATTGCTGTTGGAGTTATTTTTGTTTTTATTCTGTTCTTCATATTTTACTTAATCTTTACCTCCAGCATAATAATGAAAATATAAAATTACTAAGAGCTATAGTGTTGCTTTTAAAATTAATTTATTGTACTCACTGGGTTTTTATGAGATTTTAGAAAAAAGTGGTAGATGTCACAATGAAACTTTATTTTAATTCTTTACACTCTGCTAAACTCTCTCAAATGAGGAATCATATTTTTACTTTGCCATCTGCTATTATTATGATCTGCTTTGTCTGATGCTATTCTGCCTTGTTAAAGTCTTTTGTTGTGTTCCAGTTCCAGAGGATTTGAAACCTGCCTTTCCTGTTCAGATCATCACATGGGCTCTTCTTTTCTGGCTTCACCCTTTAAAGCCACATGGGCTTATCACGAAGTATAAGCTTCCAGTTGACAGTAGTCAGAGTTTCCATGTTTTCTCTACTGAGATTTCTTCTGTTTTCTACAGTGGAAATGTTTTAGGTTTCTTCGAGTGCAATCAGTGTACAATAATTATTTCTTACTCTTCTTATTACTGAACAAAAGAACATACAGTATTATGAAGTAATTGGTTTGTGTAATAAAATCAGTTTGTAACAATAGACATGGTGCAATTTGAAGTGAAACACTTCCAATATGTGAAAATGTGTTTGTGTTTAATTTTCCCTGCTGGCAAATAAGAATTGATTAATTAGTGTGATTTTAAAGTGATAAAATGAAGTCAAGTCTGAAAGGGTCAGCTCATTGAAAAAGTGTGGGTTGTCCATGGAATGTTTGAAGAGTGTGTGTGTCATTTGTGCCATTCCATAAAATTCTAGAAATAAGCTAATGTGATGGGTATAAAAGACCTTACAGTCCTTGTGCAAGAAGGATGTAATCAAAGTGCTATTTTATAGGTTTTGTTATTTTGTTTTCCTGGTGCTGTTAGATTATCTTGGTAATTACCAACGAGAAAATGGCTTGAAGATGCATTCCACCTTTATGTTAAGCTTTGGGTTATATCCAGTTGTATTGTTTTACCGATTGTATAATAGCATCTATTTTGTTTAAACAATTAAAGCAGTTAAGTATTCAATATTATTTTATATTTGTAGTTCCAGATGGACCCGTTAGCAATCTTAATGCCCAAAACATTTCTTCAACGACCATCAGTGTGAGTTGGCTTCCACCAGATTCACCAAACGGCAGAGTGTTTTACATGGTCTCCTTAAGGGAAGCTCAGACAAACACTCCTACATTAAAACTGACAACCAACAAAACAGTCATACTTTTTGAGAATCTCCAGAAATACACGGACTATATTTTAGAAGTGACGGCAGCAACGGTTGCAGGCTTTTCTGAAAACACTACTACAATAAAATACCTGAGAACCGATGAAGACAGTAAGTGTGTTTTTCATTTAAGCTGTTACGTCCATCAAACTAATTGGTATTTTTTTCTGTATTTTATGTGCTGCCTTCACATTGGTTAGATTGTGCTTTCTCCATTAGAATGAAAGGCATCATGCATTTTAAAAATAATAATAATGCATTATATATTTTTTAGAAACACAAATTGTATTTTAATTCCTAATTGTTCATTTTGTGACCCTAACTGTTTAATATGTTGGAATAATATAAGTGCTGATAAGTTCTACAAATGTAAAGCACCTCTTTGCTTCTTTCTCCTCATTTATACTCTGTATTACCGTTTGGGTACAACAACAAATATTGTGTGAGACATGCATCGCAAAAAGAACGAAAGAGAGAGTACAATATATGCAGTGTGGGAATGTTTCTGTCAAGTACGCTGTAGTAAGAAATTGCTGGAAAACTCAACGTCCATCCATCCACTTTCACTAGACTCTAACAAAGTGACCAAGTGTCAGGAAACACCTCAGACTTAACCAGACTTGGTCTACCTGGTGCAGTGTCTCAATGTTAGGGTTATGTGACTCATAGGAACCACCTGAAGGATTGCTTCTAGAGAGGTATATCTGTGACTGCAGGCACAATTGGGTATCATGTAATACCTGGTACCGTGTTTTTGCTGTCAGTGGTAATTTTGTAGCAGATTACTCTTATGACCACTTTTTAGACATACTCTCCACATGTTATAAATACTTATTCAAACATAAGAGGTGTGTCAAATCTCTGAGTTCAATATATTCAGGAGTAGGTCACATTCTAATCTTGTACTTCCACGCTGTTATGTATAAATACTTGTCAGTTTCTCACAATTCTGTGCACATCTTTCCTAGTGCGCCGCTTTTCAGTTTTCTTGGAGACAAACATCTTATGTACTGTAAGACGTTACCATTGTAAGTTGTCTTACTTCTTCTCAAACAAGGAGCTGTTTAACCTTAAATTCATAGAAAAAAATGTCTTTCTAAACTTGCTGTGCTGTCTATTATTTTCTTCTAGTTACCTGATGTTGTCAACTATCACTGGATTTATGAAAAAATGTGGGCGCTTCTCCCTCTCTCTTCCGCTCTCAATGCTCACTCCACTCTCTCTCCCTTTCCCCTTTTCTCTCCGTTTCTGGTCAAGGGTCCAGTGGACCACCACTATAACCCCAGGAAATCTTCATTGTTTCATCGCTTCATATTCTTGTCCTGCAGTCCTGCTTTTCTCTGTCTTCCACTGATCTGGTATCCACTCTGCCCCAAGAGTGTGAGCACAGTCTACACATAATGTCAGTCTACACTGGTATAGGGCTCATAATTCACAGCCCGCTCTGTTCCCGGTGCCTGCACCATATTCATGTACCCTGACAGCTCTGGTAGTGGACCATTTACTCCCACCCCCTTTGGTGTCAAACTGGTACACCATTAAAAGGGCCCTTAAATTTCTCCTCCCTAAGCTTCAACCCACAGACGTAACAGATATTTCTTCTTATTTTAGGGATTCTGTTTGGAATCCTATGTTCCTTTGCTTGTTTCATACAGTATGTGCTTCGTGTTCACTCTATTCAACACCACTGTTCTTCTGAAACACTGCTCATCCACATCTACTTGATCATACAAAGCTCATGCCTGCACCATACAAACTTCTCATTCATTCCAAGCTATGGCACATGTTTTCCAATTGGTTTCTGCTAAACTTGAGCTCCAATAGTTCCTTACTTGAAGAAATCTACAGAACTGTTTTGAGGATCCTTTTGGGTTGTGATAGCTCTGACCTTCAACCACGGCTGTCATTTCTGCAGCCAGGCAAGTTAACGCCCAACACTAAAGGATTAAGTTTCTTATCCCTCAATATTTGTCAGCTCAGTTTGTCATAATTAGAATTTACCTTTACCAATACCATGCAGTTGTTTTTTTAAATGCACCCACAATCATTTCCACCTGGTCTCCAATATCTATAGAAAAGATATTGTTTTTCTGACTAGCGAATGGCAAAGTGACTTTATTGAATTCTTACCCTCTGAGCATCTTACATTACAAATTCCATTATCTTCCTGATAAAAATCACCATTTCTGTTGCACAAATTAATAGGGCAGATTGACAGCTACATACATATTAAATGCCACTATTCTATATGGAATCTCATTCTTCTTATTCTCTTTGTTTTTCAGTACCAGGATCACCACCTTTGATCAGCTCTGCTACAAATCTCTCGTCGTCATCTATTCGGGTTTCCTGGAAACCACCCAATCAACCAAATGGAGTCATATTAAACTACTCCATTGCGCTTGCAGGACCCACTGGACCTAGTATCTCTTTTACTTCTAATACTAGCCTGATTTTGTCTAATCTTACCCCATTCACACCATATAATGTGTCAATTTCTGCTATAAACAAAAGAGGTATTGGGCCTTCAACCTCATTTCTCCTATACACAGATGAAGCAGGTCAGTATGTTGTGAAATTTTTTATAATTAAAAATATCTTTTAGATGACATTTATTAATATTCATGATAATTGTTTTCAAATTACAGAACCATCGTCTCCACCACAAAACCTGATGATATCTAATTATACAGCGAATTCCATGTGGCTAAAGTGGAACCCTAGTCCTGAGCCAAATGGAATTGTGCAGCTCTACAATTTTAAAATATTTGAAAACAAAAGTCAGACCTTATCATATCAGGTATTCAATAAGAATAAATCATTCTCTAATTAATTTGTAGTGGCTTTTCTTTTTATGTTTCTTTCCTACACAGTATATATTACAGTGTTTTTTTTATTTTCAAATTTGAAATTTGTAATAGAATATTTTCACGTGTCAGGAATGCACTGTAGGAATATGTAGAATAGGTGGTCTTTAATGGCATTTTTTAAATAAACATGTAAGATAATATAATAGATTTAATAAATGCTTACAATTTTAAATGCTTGCATTTTTAAATAAATATAAAGTATATCTATAATGAAATAAGGTTTTAAATGGAATACACACTATGAAAATAGATGAAGGTCTTCTAATTCTTTGCTTTTTATTTGAATTCTTTTTAATAGAATACATCAGGACGTGTGACAGAAACACAGTTATCTGGATTTAAACCCAGTGGCTTCTATGAAATCAGTGTCTCTGCTTTCACAAAAGTAGGAAATGGAAATCTCTTCAGCAATTCTGTTACATTTATAACAAATGAATCAGGTATGTGAATCTTGTCCATAAAACTGACAATGTGAATAAAAACATTTTGGGGGATTTTCCAGCATTGAAAAAAACTTGAGTTAAATAATCAGATATAAGAAAAAAAACATCAGTTCTAAAGAGATTGTAACATACGGTACTTGTGGCATTTTAATAAAAGAGTCAGTGCGTTTTATGAACACCATAACAATGTTAGTTTGTACTACTTTGGTATTTGAGTGAAGTGACATCATGAGAGAGAAGAACAGAATGTAATGGATTGAATATTGGGATATTGAATGTTATTTCCAAAAAAATAATGATTTGGAAAGGTCTCGTTACAGATAGGCTCTGCATTATGTCTCAGGTATTAGGTTAGACCCTATACAAAGTGGAAAGAGCTGGAGGAAACAGGAGACATAGTTTGGGGAAAACACACAGGGGTTTAATAGTGCATCAAAACAACAGTGACAGTTTGTGAACCAGTGAATAGAGAGGCATCTCTGGAGAGGCATCCAAATCCAAACAGGTCCAAAGGAGGGCCAGGGCACAGTCCATGAGTCCGATACCGATACCATCCTGAGACAACACAAGGTTAAAATCCACTGGAAGGGGAAAACACGAGCATGGGAAGTCCTGGGGTCACGGGGCGAGGTCCTCCAGGCCCTGGGCTCAGAGATCAGAGGATGTCGAGGATGAGGCCTACAGTATGCCCTCAGGCATCCAGCAGCCTGGTGATAGATGGGCCTTGTGACATCCGAACCCTAATGCTGAGCCCTGAGCACTGGAGGCAATGGGATTAAATAGGGGGAGACAAACAAGGCACACTGGGAGAACATACAAACAATCACACAGAACTAATGACAAGAGTAGTGGAGCACCCTCTAGAGGAGGGATGTCAACCGTGGCAGGTATCAATTAGATACCTGCGTGGTAGTTCATTTGCCAGGCTCAATGTGACTGAATTGTGTTGCCGAGGAACAAGGCTAGCCAGCTGAACCAGGGCTTAAAGTAGGCAGCAGCAGTTGTAGGAGTAGGGCAACACCTGGCAAAGCAGCAGCATATTTTCTCTGCATAGCTCAAAGACGGAGGCTTGAGAAGGAGCCTGGAGTTCTGAGTACTACAGGTTTTATCACCAGCAGACAACTGTGTGGTCTCAGTGGAAGAGAATGTGACATTATGTGACAGAAAGAACAACACACCGGCTGCTGCTATTTCAGGAGAGCAAGTGAAGATGATATTTGTCCCTAGCCAAACAGGATCACCGGTATCGTTATAGTTAAGTGGGTGAGGGTTTTTGAAGATCATACACTTACAGTAGGAGGACAGAGAGTAAAGAGTTGAAAGAGCGGAATGAATTAAGTGGTTGTTAGTGTTAAACTGGAGATTGCAATTGGGTGACATAGGGTGAGTTGTATTGAATACTCCAGTACCTGATTGAATTGAGTACAGTGGTTAATGAACATATGAGTTAAAAAGATTAAGTAAAATCCTGAGAGAAAAATATAAACAGAAGACCCTACAGAGGGGACCACGAAAACGGTAGCCTGCAGGGGTTCTGCCCACAAGACTTAATGGAAGGTCTCTTAAATGGGGAAACTTAAGTAGCATTTCTGCATTATTATGGTTAATATATAATATACCACTGATGTTACAGTACCTGAATAGTGTATTTGGTGCTCAACTGGGTATCATTTACCACATAGAACTTGAGAGAAAATGTAAAACAGTATTGTTTGAAATTTGGATTGGCTGGATCAAAATTTGTGGTATTTGTAAATGTTATGTAGTTGTTTTAATAGCAGGTTTCATAATCATTTTAATGTACAGTACCTCTTGGAATTATAAGACCATGTAGATACAGTAACTGTTAAATTAAACAACACAGATAATGATTTCTGATCTGTATCTGCTTCTTTTTTTGGTTTTCCACAGTTTCAGATGTTGTTCAAAACCTTCATTGTATTGGGACAAACTGGCAGTCGGTCTTTATTGAATGGGAATCCCCTATTGATCCGAATGGAGTTATCACTCATTATATTATAGAGTTTGGGCATAATGTGCAGGAACTCAAGCCATTTGAACTCAAGCGCACAATTAGAGGGCTACATGCAAACACAACTTATGTCTTTCTTGTCATGGCTGTGAATTCTGCTGGAAAAGGGAAAAACCATTCATGCATTGCCAGGACATTAGAAGAATCAGGTACTACTTTTCTCTCATTTATAGTATTCTTAGATATGTTTTTCTTTCTATTGAAGTATGCTATAAGATGCACATAAGTGATCAAACCTACAACCTACAGTTGTATTTTATAAATCATATTTTAAAATTAGAACAAAGTTGTGTTGATTTGGGCTGTTTACCATTAATAGAGATTGTTACAGGATTTGTAAAATAATGAAAATTATATTGCAGCTCAAATAAAAATGTAGAGATTTGTTCTCAGTTTTTGTTGTATCAGACACTCATATTTGGTATAAAGCTTCAAGTTAATGACCACCTAGTATTAGTCACACTTTTCTAGCCAGCATTGAGTCATTCTCAGTGCATTTATTTCAGACTTGAACTAAAATGAAATTAGTTTCACTACTCACAGTACCAGTCTTTTATTTTCCACAAACATCATTTTTGGTCAAAAGATTAAACTGATGTTTTGCAGAACATGGCCTTAA